AAAACATGGCGTGACAAAACTCCCAAACCGAATCAAACGGTTCTTTTTAAATTAAATACTCAAACGTGTATCTAAATCGAGAACCGACGAGTTCAGTTTGGTTCTCAATTCTAGACTTAGAATTGAAAAATCGAATACAAATTGAATCTCCCTAATTTTTTTTAATTTTTTATCTTAAATAAGTCAAATTATTTTATTTTTTTCTAAATAAATTTACTAACTAATTAATTTAATCCAAACCCAAAATATAATTTTACTATTTCTAATTTTCAGCGAAGACCAACTTAATCAAACTGACATAAGTTTTACCCTAATATATTATTCTACCGTAGTGTCGCATCTGCTGTTCTATTACTATGAACTCGCCATCTTCATTTTCCTGTAATTTTAGTAGTCAAGTCTATGAAGAATTCAACAAAGACAGGTGCAAAAAATATTACAAGATTGAACTACGTTATTTTGTAAAATTTAAGATTGAACATATCATAATCAAATAGAATCGAATCAAATGGAACCGAACCCGAACGTTTCCATAATTAAATTTGAAGTTGACGATTCCATTTATTAAATACTCGAAAATTTGAGTTCAGTTCGATTTTCTTTAAAATCCAATTGAATCGAACTATGTCCAACCCTACAAAACATTCTTAAAAGAAAGAAAGAAAACGGTTCCATAATTAAATTTGAAGCTGACGATTCCATTTATTAAATATCCGAAAATTTGAGTTCAGTTTGATTTTCTTTAAAATCCAATTGAATCGAACCATGTCCAACCCTACAAAACATTTTTAAAAGAAAGAAAGAAATTTTTTTTGTTCTCAGCAAATGCAGACTTTAATTCAATAATCAGGAGACAGGTGTGGGGATTTAAGGGGTCAATCGGACCAAGAAATGGTGTCAGATGCAAGAGCCTGTTCAGAGTATTGATGACATGTAATTAAAGAACAACAGATTTTCCTTATCTTTGCTGTCCAAATTTTAGATGACATGTAATTTATAGAACAAAGTATTGACTACAAATATTAATGGAATATTATATGACTTATTTAATAGTTACAAACATTGATGAAGAATTTTAATCCAAAGTAAGTTTAAATTTTCTCTTCTATCTACTTTAATATAACTAGTTAAACTCAACATATAAGTATGGAAAATCAAAAAGAAAATTCCACTTTCACTGAAAAAATCAGTGTAAAATTTGTCTACTGCTTAATTCAAATCAGTTAAATCCGCTTCAGGCTGTGCTCATATTCCAAAATATAGGAACTTTTAGAATAGGTTCATTGATGTCAATCAGCTCAAAACCTCAAATACACTCTCTACGACAGTGAGATTCACACAGTAATTCTGCTATTCTTTGAAGTTTAATTCAAAAATAAAAAATAAAAAATAATAATAAAATCTTGTTCGCAAATCTGGTTTCCGCCTGAGCTTTTAAAAAAATGGTTTTTTCTTCTCTCTATAACGTGATTTCCACTGCAATCTTTCCAATTTTTAACGTAAGATAATAACATTCGAATGCAAACATAGACGTGGACAACATACAAAAATACCACTCTGTCTTTGTCAATAATATTTCGTTTTTATTGAGGCCCATCCTCTTCTGTTCTGTACAATCCAGTGAAAGGGATCCATGTAGAGCATTCAATCCCCTTTCCTGAAGAATCTTTATTTTTAATTTTTCGTAATTCGTAAATGAAAAAAAAGGGGGAAATTAATTCATTGTTAAGAATTGAGGTTCATCTTAAAATGTCAATAAGAGGAGTAACACAATCTTTTATAAGTTGGTTTATGTTTACATTTTTATTCGATATGGGATTTTATCGCTTAACATGTCCCGCAAGATGGTGGTTCGTTTGAGCAGACCAATCTTGAAATTCGTACGCTCACTTTTGAAGTATTAACCAGATCGAATTGCTCGTTAGAGCTTAATGTGCTCTAATACCAAGTTAAGAATTTGGGTTCCATCTTAAAAGGTCAACTTTATTAAAAGGAGTAACTCAATCCTTTATAAGTTGATTTATATTTACATCTTTATTCGATGTGTGATTCTATCCCTTAACATTCATAATATTTTGCATCATTAACATAATGTTGCAGATATTCGTTTACGGGTTGGAATGAGATTATTAGGCTGCACATAAATTTTATTTTTAAGTTACTTATTTTGTTTTAACATTTTTCGAAGAAACGTACTCAGAAACTTCTTTAAAATTACTTATTAAAGAAATTAAACTTAACACATAAGTCTTTATAAAAAGTGAGTTAAAAATGTTCTCACAACAACTACTATTTTTTTTTTTTTTTTTTGTGTGAGACGTAGGAACCCGCAGCCACTATTCCCCAACGGAACCCCGACCATCCCGAAGGGGCGGAGACCCGATCACTGTGAGTGCACACTAGGTAAACTCCGCTCCATGTGCAATAGCCCGCAAATTACACAGAAGAGGTAAATTGCACTGGACTCGACCGAGGAAGTATTGGCAAGGGATTCGAACTCGTAACATTTGGTCTCCGCCTTCACTCGTTCCACCAACTCGGCCACCCCCGAAGGGGCATCAGCACAACTATTTTTACTTGATAGACTTGTTGGTTATTTGAGTATTTTCTTTGTGTGCAAGCATCTGCAAAGGTTTTTTTTTTTTTTTGAAGGGAAAAAATAATAAAAATTGTGAAGTTCTTGTCTTCAATATACTTCCAGACTTCCAGTTTTCACTCATTATCGAGTGAAACGGAGAAAGAATGAACCGCCATTGCAGAGTACCTTACCGTTACTGTTGGCGCCAAAAAACATTACTTTGCTTGAATTTAAAAATTTCTCGTCAAATATTCTATAATTATTCAACCAAAAGGTTACATGCTTCAATTCTTCAAGGACTCAGAGAAATGAAGCCTCTGCAGCAAGTTCATGCCCACATAATCACCTCTGGTGTTTCTGGCAATATTTTTTTGTGCAACAGATTGGTGAATTCATATGCTTCCTGTGGGTTCGTGGCCAATGCCCAGATAATATTTTCTCAAATTTTGTATAAAAATTTAGTTTCTTGGACAGTTTTAGTATCTGGGTTCACAAAAAATGGCCTTTTTATTGAAGCTATTGAGGCCTTCCATGAGATGATTATTAAAGAAATTAAGCCAAACGAGTTAACAATAGCGAGTGTTTTGCCAGCTTTTGGGAAATTGGGGTTTGCCAAGATGGGTAAATCAGTACATTGTTATTGGATTAGGAAAAAATTCAAAGACAATGTTTTTGTGGAAACAGCTTTTGTTGATATGTATTCAAAATTTGGATGCACAAGTGTTGCTAGATATGTGTTCGACAAAATGTCTGTGAGGAATGTTGTGTCATGGAATGCGATTATTTCATGTTATTCTGATAATGGATTTGGGGAGGAAGCGTTATCGCTATTCAAAAAGATGAAGAGAAAAGGATTCTTTGCCGATGTTTTTACCATGATGAGCTTAGTTTCGGCTTGTTTCAACATGGAAGATCTTCGAGTAGGAAGTGGAGTCCATGGTTTGATAATCAAAAGTGGATATGTGAATGATCAATTGCTTAGAACTTCTTTGATGCAAATGTATATAAGTGGTAATTCTGCTAATGATGCTTATTGTATATTTGATGAGATTCCCATGAAGGATGCGGTTGCTTGGACATTGATGTTGTCAGGGTTTTCGAAAAGTGGAGAATCAAAAAGGGCAGTCGAGCATTCAAACAAGATGATGCGAGTTTACGAGATTGTGCTGGATTCTGTTTCTTTGGTCAGTATCCTTTCAGGTTGCTGCTGTTCGGGAGCTTTGCAGCACGGCCAGAGGGTACATGCTCTCGTCATAAAAGCAGGTTTTGGAAGTGATGTATTCGTGGGATCGTCTGTAATAGACATGTATGCTAATTGTGCAAACATGGACGACGCGAAAAGATACTTTGAATGGATGGAAGAGAGGGATATTGTATGCTGGAATGCACTAATATCTGGTTATGGAATGAATGGATATGGAAATGTTGCAATTGATCTGTTTATGAAGATTAAGGAATCAGGTCTAATCCCAGATGAGTCAACCTTGGTTTCTATCTTGTGTGCTTGTAGTCATGCTGGACTTGTAGATCAAGGGCTCGAAATTTTTAATCAAATGGTTGAGAGTTGGTCTATAGTTCCTAGTTTAAAGCACTATGCATGTGTAATCGACCTTCTTGCTCGTGCTGGACGACTCGATGATGCTTATGCATTGATTAAGAGTATGGATGTGCACCCAGACATTTATTGTGCCTTGCTTAGTGCTTGTCGGGTTCATAATAACGTCGAGATGGGAATTAAGATATCTCGAAAACTTTTCGAGTCGAGACCTAATGATATTGGGCAGTATGTATTGCTCTCAAACACGCATGCTTTAGCTGGGAACTGGGATGATGCGGAAAGTGCTAGAATATATTTAAGATCAAGAAAATTGAAGAAGGAACCAGGTTCAAGTTCAATTGAGATAGATTGAGAAATTCCTGGAAGGCATGATAATCGAAACAAAAGCAGAAATTCTTGAAAATAAGTAAAAGTCTCTTAAACCAAAAGTGTGTAGACAATTTGCATTTTTTTTCTTCCTGTAAAAATATTACTGAATGTAAGTCTTCCCTGCTGTCAAAAGTAACAACTTCAAATTTGACCAATAAATTATTTATTATTTTAAAATCTACTTATTTATTAGCCAAACATGCTATTGCCAGAACAAATACAAGGAGAAAAACGTTAATTTGTAATACCACAACATATTAATGCTCATTGCCTGAACCTCTTAAAGTACAGAAGCAGAAAAATATTACAAAATGCCTGTTAAAAGGGCGTTGCTTCTACTGAATCATAGTGTCAAGAGAACACAAAGTTAAACTGTGCATATTCTAATGTACAATTTGTACAAAAAAGAATTTGTATTCTAAAGTAGACGACCATGGAGTCGAGAACTAAATAGCTCCTGCAAACGAATTTGCTATTTCATTTCGTTTAAGAATCCTATTCGTGTTGAGCACGCACCTTTTCATGGATGTCCATCAAAACATCACGTAGCTCTGGGAAAACTGATACTAGAAAGAGTTCTAATATTCCATAGCCAAGTTGCTTCAAACAAATAGTAGACTGCGATTTATAAAAACATTACTAAGGTTGGCTCTTTGCATGTCAAAAGAGAAAATCAAAATGGAACATAGTGGTGCATTTGGCACAATACTGCACAATAGTAACAAAAAGGTCACTTATTTATTTTTTGAACAAGGAGAACCCAGGGTGGGGGAGCATTTACCTGAAGGAAGTTATAGATATCTCTGGCACAACGTCTGTACTGCTTATGCCCAATGAAGCTTACTAAAGCAGTGGGAGCACCATCTGCCAGGATGAAGACAATTCATATCTAAATCAATGACTCAATAAAATGATTCCCCCCATTTACTATAAGCTAGAGAGAGAGAGTTCATCAAATCAGAACGTAGAAATAATGAGCAATCATGAAAGCAAGGCCATCCTCAAGATCCTTTCTGTCATCAAATACATGTCCATCATCATATTTATTGAGGTTAATAACATTGTAAGTCACCACTTTTTTTTTTCTACATTAGACAGAATTTTCCTTTTTTGGATTAAAGTACTTCGATTACCTGTTTTCTAAGTTAATGAAAATGCTAATGTTGCATTGACTTGTATATTTCTTCTCCAACCCCCCACCTCCACCCAGCGGCATGTGCGCATGTGCTCACCACCACTGCTATTGCAACTACCCTACCCTCTATGTAAGAATTTCTGTTAATTTAGCAAACAGAGGTAGACAGGGTGCCTAAACTGAAATAAAAATGAAAGGTTAGAGACCGATTTGGAACACCATTATAAGTTGATTGACTATCTTTTTCTAACCCCTAATTATATCATAAGGAGAGTGGTAAGAATTACTCACTGAAGAGAATCTTTTTCACTTCGCTAGCTCTGCGAGTGGCTTCAAACTGTTGCTCAAAAGTTCCTTGTTTAGAAGCCCGAGTTCCAATTTGTTGCCTTGTTGATCTTTGAGATCCAGGATTTGCATGACTACCATTTAGTCCAGTTTGAATATTCAATCTCAGGAAAAATGTGTCATTGGGCCAAAGAATCTAACAAGGAGACAATAATCCCGGAACGGGTTAATTATAAAAAAAACCAGAACGGGTTAAAGCATCAATTGACAAGTTAACAAAGAAATCAGATTCCTCAAGAGTCAAAATTCAAAGCAGGAAGATCAGATTGGAATGTGAATAATAGCTACAAAAAATTCGGATGCCTAAAATTTGGGGGAACACAAACCATAAAGTAATGAAGCATTTTAAGAGGACCACATTTCAGGGCAAAGTAAAACAGAAAAAAGAAACTTAACAACAGAGTATTCAGATACTTTTGGCCAAGACAAATACTCACGTCCTGGACCATCCGAATTCCATGAGCAATAACATCATCTCTTCGGAGCCACTGAATTTGCCTCAAGAGCCAGTCATCAACAGCATCATCCATAACTAAGTGCAATACTTGCTTTGATATCCAAAACGCTTGTCTCCTGCAATAAATTAATAAAATAACACATTCAGACAAAATGATGATCTGTATTTGGCAGCATGCTTTCTGAACACAACCATTTCATGCAGTTCCATCAAAATTGTCACCAACCATGAAACTCCTTTTTTGAGTCATGAAGTAATCACTGAAAAGAAAAGAAAAGAAAAGAAAAGAAGAAGGAAAGACGGGAAGAAGTTCAAAGATGGACTCGGCAAGCAAGTCATCTGTCATTGAAAGAAAATAAAAGTTCAAACATTTTGCTAAAGGCCAGTGGCTAAACACGTCAACTTATATGCTACACAAATTGAAACCTTTCTTTTTAAATTGGCTGAATATAAGCAATAGATTGTGCATGTATACACGAAAGATGTCAAGACCTTAAAGAATCTGATACTACATATATAAACTTTAAACCCAGAAAGAAGTTCAAAATATAGAAGCAAGCAAAATCATAGCATCACCTCAGCCACCCTCTTCTCTTCAGCTGAAATACCTTATCAACCAAATTCAAAACAGGAATGCTTAAATTGGGTGGAGTCCACTGCAAGAAAAATCCAGCATCAATTAGAGAAATAGCCAAAACTGCCTGCAACTCAGGATCTTTGCCATATGTTGTGGTGAACCACCTGTTCTACATGCTTAAGATGTTTTAGAGGGATGAATTTGTTTATTTAAATTCAGCATTCANGAGAGAGAACCACTAGGATTAGGGAAAAAAGGGAAATATGAAAAACAAGGACCTGGTTTGGCAATATGAGTTTAGGATAAATACTCACAAGGGGAGGAGGCGAAATGAACAATAGCAGATAGGGGAATACATGTATTCTACCACTGTACCTCTGGAGGCACCCCAGTTGGATCCTCTTGGGGAACAGATGTTAATGCAAGACTATACTCTGAATATCTGCTCACACTATGCAACTCAGATTGCACTTTTTGACCACGAATTCCCTCAGAATTCAAGGTAAAGTCTTCATCACATGTCACAACTCTCGGTGGAAACCCCTTTGGGTTCAATTCATAGTCCGAGAGCCTCCCATTGGCTTGTGCAGCAGATTCTACTTCCTGTTGCCCATGGCTTTCATCTTTATCGCCTTCCTCGTTATCAGAGATACTGTTAATTGATGCACTGGTATTGTGACTGTTAATTGACTCGGTGGTATTGTGACTCAAAGCCAGGTTTTTAATATCATCTGCTATCCAGGACGAAGATCTGCTTGTCACTAAGGAAGCTGGTTCACACATAGAGGAAGGTGAGCCAACAACTTTCTGCATCAAGCTATCAGAAACTCCTTTGAACTGCCGTACAATATCATCCACAGCATCATCTACATTAACTGTTTAGACAAAGGAACACTGATAATGACTATAACATTTAGGTAACAGTCATAAACTCAAATTTAAGGAAATCAATTAGAAAAGGAAACAAGAAAGCGATTAGGCTCCCGAAGGAGTGAGCAAGAAATTAGCAGTATTGTTTTCTAATGAAGTAGGCGACAAATAACCTTCAGTAAATAATATTATCATGATTCTTTCGTGTACCATGATATGCATAACCTGTCACAGGCAAATGGTGGTGACACTTTACAACTCGAATTATGGTAATTAATTAGCTGTACGAGCAAAATGAGTTCAGTGTGCCAACAAACCAATCATGCATTTTCAATTTCTTTTATGTCTTGCAGCGAAAACAGCTCTACAACTATGACTTCGATGGCCAAAATTCTGCACCCCCCACCCCCCCAAAAAAAAAAGTAAATCTAAAGAGTATAAAGAATACAGTAATATAGTAACAAGAAGGTAGAATTAGTGACACCGAACAAACTTATTCAAATTGGAAAATGCCTGCAGAAATTACCATGGACTTCTGATCATAATTTACAAAAAGTTACATATAGAGTACTAGAACATTCAACAGCCTCACCACAAGTGACATGATTCTAAAAGTAGCAACAAGTTGAAGTGCAGCATACAAGCATTAGTTCAATATATTTCAAGCACTATACAGGTAGAAATGAATGATATGCACACAGCCAAAAATATGAGCCACTGAGTAATAAGAGAGAGATGAGATCCAAGAAGACAAGCCAGGTACCTGCCAAAGTCTTCATCACTGAAGATGATTTCCCAAATGAGTAATTCTTCATTGAAAAAGAAATACAAATTAACTTCCCCAGAAAAAAAAATCCGAAGGTGATGAATATGTTCTCAAGAAAACCCACAGACATACACACCTTAGAGGAAGCACTTAGAAAATCCCATACTTCATGCTGCTCAGCAACATTGGCAATTGACAATAGATCCTGGTAAAGACAGCGTAATTAAAACAGCTAAATAAGGAAGAGAGTGAATAGCAACATCCTAAGTCGGGGTCATCATACTTGCAGATACTTGTGAAGTTGAATACAACGTTGGTGAACGAAAGCATCCTCTGTACTTGATGAAAATATCCTTTTGGGAGGCAAATGTAACATATAATTAGGAATGTCCTTGAGATGTCGGTGCAATCTCTCAAAGTTTCGATATCTGCGGACAAATTATCGAAAAAGAAATAGCTCAACACACCTGGAAAGACCCAGTAGTGCCAATCTAATTAAGAAACTATCTCAGATAGATGAAACCAAAGTTGTTCATTTACTGAAACTTAATTGAAAATCCCCAACAAAAATGAGACGAACTTCAAACATAGCAATATTTTTTGAAGAACTGGAAGCAAAACCCAAACCTTCTTTTTACAAACCAAGTGTTGTTGTCAGCATCAGTCACAGCAATCGAGTAAACTGCAAACGATGTAGAGCCAAGTTTCTCAAAGTATGCTCCAATAACCTGCAATATCAAAAGATTGAAGATCGAACATGTATATAATCATCAGAAAATGATGAGAATAAATATACAGTCCCCTTCTAAATCAAGTTTCAGCTTTAAAATCTAGCAGAAGATGATAGTGACGAGCGAAATGGCAGCAACCTAAACCGTGAAGACAGAGTTGTGGAAGGGCAATACAAGCATCCTGCTGCTAGGCGAAGCAGTACATATGCTTGCATGCAAATTATCCATCCTCTAACAATAGAGCTGAGATATTACTTAACCTTAGAATATTACTCTTTCACAGAAGAAGTGTATGCCACAATAGAAGAGAAGAGGGATGAAAGTACCCAAGCAAAGGACAGAAGGGAGCGGTTCTGTATGAATCGAAGGATCCAGTTCAAAAGGTGTAAGAAGCTTTTTTCTACTCTTAACTGTCCACAGGGAGCCTTAGGCTCTAGCGTAGAAGAGGATCAACAGGCCCAATACATGTTTTAAGCGGAGTTTTCTTGTAGAACTTGGCTAAGGGAGTGACTTACGGGGGTAACAAATCCCACTAAATACAAACTAAGGTGGACGAAAGTAAACAAGCAAAGGCCAGAAGGGGACGGTTCTGTATGAATCGAGGGATCCGGTTCAAAGGGTGTAAGAAGTTTCTATTGTAACCGTCCACAGGGAGCCTTAGGCTCTAGCGTAGAAGAGGATCAACAGGCCCAATACATGTTTTAAGCGGAGTTTTCTTGTAGAACTTGGCTAAGGGAGTGACTTACGGGGGTAACAAATCCCACTAAATACAAACGCAATCCATAAACCAATATCATCACCTTGATACTGAAGCAGAACAGATGCTTGCATGCAAATTATTCATCCCTGACAATATGTGTGAAGTATTACTAAAGTTTTACTCTCACAGAAAAAGTGTATGCCTCAATAAACGAGAAGGGTCCAAACCCTCACTCTGAACGCAGAGGAAATACCGAAAGCATGAATTGTGAAGGTTCTCTTCTTGAATAACAAAACATTTCAATTTATAAATGCCAAGTCCATGAACATTTTGAGAAACTGAATAAAAAGGGGAATGATATGTCTTACCCGGCATCTCAGCCTTGGAACATGCAGTCCTTCACTGCGCAGAACCATATTTGAGACACTCTTGACACTATGTATATTAGTTCCATTAATATCCACACCATAAAATTCCGAAATAATGGGTGAACCACCTTTGCTAGTAAATGTATCTTCCATGTTTGATTGGACTTTCAAATCAGAAGTGCTGTTTGATCTCTTAAGCCTGTTTCTATTTTCAAGAGGAACAACTCTAGTTCTATCCTCAAGTTTATTATCAGTAGATCCATCCTTTGAAAATACCTCCTTGTTAAGATCCTGGAGCATGTGTAATGCATTAGTGTCGTGATCAGTAAGCCCAGCATCTGGTTGAGGCAAAGATAGAAGCTGCATCTCAGCTTTATCTTCCACTCCAGTAGATATTTCATGGTTGTTATCCCACACTTGGGTCCCCATTTCCTTCTGAGGCATGACACTGCTTACTGAACCTGCTGTTTCGGGAGCCTGAATTCCTGTAGCAGTGCTCTTCTTGAGCTTCTTTTTGTAGTTTCTTCCTATTGCCCACATGTTCTCAAGATTTTCAGGCATAAGAACTTCTGTTCTTCTCTGTGTTGCAGCCTCAAACACTCGGGCCCAGTCGGAAGGTCGTGGATGGGCCGGTTCATCCTGCACTGTATCAGATAAGGAATTTACTGATGCATCAGACATAAGTTCCTTTTTATTGTCAAAACGAGCTAAAGTCATATCAGTTCCTTGACTGTTGGCAGATAAATTTTTCTTGAAAGCAGATTCGCCAGCAGCGTGATTATGACCCTCCATATTAGATGACTGATCAGTGTCACCATCCTTAAACAACTCAGCCTTGATGGCAAGGAAAATATAGAGAACCAATTCATTAATATACCTGGAAAAGTGTTAAAAATGATAAATTTCCCGAATGGACATGCCACCTGGTGAATCATTAATTGAATGAAAAGATAAGCAGTTATAATTTTAACCGCTATCCATAAAATGATTGGCAGAGATAAGGAAAAAAATGCAAGCAGTAAAAAACTCGGAAATCCCAAATGAATCTTCAAAATGACGAAAATAATAATAGAAGAGTTATGATCTATTGATTTGACACACCTTGCAAACATGGGTACGCAATTTCCTTTTTAAAAAAAAATTGTGTAGAGAAAGAATTCTTAAACGTGCATCATGATTATTTTTGCTAGTTGCTTTAAGAGATAATGATTTCCTCTTCTATCACAAGACAATGTTATTTTATCTTTTCTGGTCCAAGTCGCATCTTCTTCTTCATCAAACAATTCCAGCACTGTAATTTTTTCTTCGAATCATAAGTTCAATACTTAGTAAAGCCCTTAGTCAATCAAAAAGGCCTTGATTTTCTAAATGTTATTTTTCACAGGTACTTTTCATCAGCCCCATTAAAGACGGTGGATCTCTTTTTCTCCTCCAATGCCTCTCCCACTAGATCCTTCTGGTTTAATACTTGTCCCCAACTGTCGACCACAACTTATGAATAATCCACCCGTAAGTTTTGCAGTTCCACTGCCTACTGCATGGAGCATTTTACAATACACTTCTCCTACATCAATTTGTATCTTGAAATTAAGCAAACAAAGGCAATTTGCAGAACATGCACGTAAAGCTAAAGGACATTTAAACTTCTGAGAAGAAGACCCCTACAGTTCTATTTGTAAGTCAGTAAAACAAGAATGAGAACCCAGCAGAAAGTGGAATATCTTTGGTTATTGTTCTAGTCATCATAAGTGCAGCTCTCCATTTCCATTATTGATAACATTTATCTGTCTCTTGAATCTCACGCCATTCCTTAAAGTATCTAGTCAGTTGCAGTAATTGTCTCTTTTTCTCACTCATCAGAAAAGATTTGACTTCTATTGTCATGTAATAAGGTCGTAGTAAAAAGTTGTGCAAGTTATAACCAAGACTGTCTAGCTTTAGTTATCAGACTTGACTTTATGCTACTAGGATAAAACTTGTAATAAAATTCTTTAATATGAAAAATTAAATAATTTAACAGAACATTTCAGAAGAGATAACTCCTGCAAAATAAAAGGAGAGATGAATAAAAAAATTATGATGTGCCATGTGGTAAATTCATTATGTAGAAACAGAAGGGAAACATGGTCCATGACATTTAAAAGGTCATGCAAATACAGCAAATAGACTAGTAACAGTCCTAGTTATTATCATCAGATGTTCGTCGGATATTAATACCAAGCTATTTCAATCTTCAATAATGATGGCATGATCACCAAAAACCTTGAGGCTCATGAAATACACATGAAGATACATGACGAAACTAATTTTGATTTAAAAAGTAAAATCATAAATAAAAGTCTCACCCTGGGCTTACTAAATTTATAAGAGGTTGCAGTACCAAACATGTTACAAGCTCTCGTGCAATGCATCGAACCAGAGGGCATTGGGCTTCCCTTGGTCTTAGTACGATAGTTAAGAGTCCACCCATGAGCTGCTGAAGAAACTACACATTAACAAGCATCAGATGACAAGAAAATAACAAAAAAAACAGAAAACATAATAACTTTCTTCTGTCTCAGAACATTTCTACACCTTGTACTCACACTCTGGAGATATCAGAGCAGGATGAAGCTGCTTAGAAGCCAGGAGATGGTGTTTCAACCTTTCATCTCGTTCTTCAGAAGAAAGTATTCCCATAACATCCACACCAATTGAAGTCTGGTTTTTTCTGAAAAGATCCAGGTGATCTCCTATCAGGTCTACAATGTCCCTGGATAAATGAAAAAAAAAACACACACACACCAGATTTAATCACTTAATTAATCATTACTCATGAAATTCACATGGTTTTGCAACGATTAGTTGTGATCAAAGAGGCAGCTAAATACCTTGTCAAAAGGTCAACAAGGTTTACTTCTTTGACTCTGCCAGACACTTCACCAAGTGCATCCATGATTACAGCACGTATCAACTCAGGTGCCTCTTTGTCAGGTGTAATATCAGAATACCACAGATCACTGACAAAATCACGCAAAAGCTTATTGATAAAATCCTGCATAGCGGCCTCTACAACAGGGGAATCAATGTTTCTCTTCCATTTTGGTGGGGGAGGCATGGTAGTGAGACGAGAATCATTCGCTGAGAGCTGCCTCTTTTCTAAGTGTGACAAGTAGGACTGTGGTCTGGCATTATGAACCTTCCACCGAAATTCAACCTCATTGAATAACATTCTTAGCCCAGAAACCAAGAGTATAGCTATTGGGGCATTCATTAACATTGATTTACTTGTATCTGAAATCGTGAATATAATTAGAAACTTCAGAAGAATATTGAATGGAATCATGGTAAGAAGCCATAAATAACTGCAAGTTAATCATACTCACAAAGAAGTTAGTCATTAACATATCCGTTGTTATCTACCTAATGTTGTCAAACTCAAACACTTCAGTAATGCAATGGGAACGGACACAATTACTTCAAATCAAACCCAATTCAACTATTTGACATGTAAACATAATAGATTGTAAGCATTCTTCATTTTCTCACCCGACTTACAAAATTCAAAATGTAAATCACAGGAAATTGAAACCCGAACAGAAACCAAAATATGAAGATCGAATTCAAAAATATCAATCCCGTGATTTCTTAATTTCAACACCGGCAAACCATTGCATGGTAGATGAAATCAAATTATCCAATTCAAACAAGAAAACGCAATTACATATATGCAATTCAGCGGCTGAAACACGGAAATAAAAACACACATTTCAAATTTACATTTCACGAATCAGAAAAAGAAGAAATTGGAGCTCACGCGTCAAGAAGTAAGAGATGGCAAATATACACAATGCCCACCAAACCGTTCGAAGCTTCGCCTCTTCGATCAGATCTTGCACACTCTCCATAGCCTTCTTCATTATTATTCTTAAACAAAACCTAAATTAGTGCATAATGATTAACAATTCATAATTCAAGGAGAAAAAGAAACTATACACGAAACATCATCAAATTCTGTTCCCTCCCGTGAAAAATAAATCCAAAAATCCAAAATGTCAGTCAACTTAAAGCAAAAGGAATTGTGCATGAATTTCGTCTTTTAGCTGAGGCATTTTTTATTTTTATTTTTTTTGGTTTATTTGAAATTGTTTGGGAGGAGAGAGAGAGAGAGAGAGAGAGAGAAGAATGTGGGAAAGAGATGCAACAGCGTCGCTATACACGTTATACTGTACAAATTCCATACAGTTGGAACGAATTGACATATTTGCCCTTCTGTGGGCCCACTTCAGTTGGTACCCCTATTCTTATTATTAAATTCCATTCAATTTTACTACACTGGCATCATGACAGCACCATGGTTGACTACTTTATTACCCTTTTTGACATAACACACAATTTTATCATTAATTTTAGGATCATGCTATGTGTACATAATGAAGTACACATAGCCTTACACCCCCTCACCTGGAGAGGGGTCCACACACAATAAAATATTCGTAGGCTCCTCTCCATGTGAGAGGGGTGTAAATCATTATGTATACAAGGTGTACAAGTAGATTAATCCTTAATTTTAACAACATCAATGATCTTGATTTTGACCCCACAAAGGGTGCTGAACTAGTTGTACACCATGGGTGTACAATGAACTTAATTCAATTCCATTTAGCAGTAAGAATTGTATTGCCACTCAAATATCATTATCAAAGGCATTTTTAAGTTGTTACGTTTGAATACTCGATAGCATCAAGGCGTACAATCACTCATGTAGTCTTGAGGTTACTTGACCTCAAGTACCTCGACATCAGGTTCAACGATTTTGAAGGACCATTGCCTCCAGAGCTGTTCAATGAGAACCTTGATGCTATCTTTGTGAACCACAACCGGTTCCACTCCACCACCCCAGAAAACTTATGGAATTCCCCAGCTTCAGTAATAGTCATCTCCAACAAGAAGTTCACCAGATGCATTCCAAACAGCATTGGCCAAATGGGGAACACATTGGACGAGGGTCCTTTTCTGAAACAATGCTCTCTCCGGTTGCTTGCCTGAAGAAATTACTCTGTTGAATGGTGCAAACGTTACTGATATTAGCAATAACAAGTTGATTGGAGATTTGCCTGTAGAATGTGGAAGTTGTAGTAATTGCAAACATGTTTAGAGCAAAGGTCCCTGGCAGCATTTGCAGCTTGCCGAATTTGAAAAATTTCATACCCTCTTCCAACTATTTCATGGCGAAAGACCCAACGTGCCAACCTAATGAAGCGGCTGATCTTCAGTTGGACGATGAAAATAATTGTTTTGGCAAAGAGGCACACCAGAGATCGGAAAAGGTATGTCAGGCTGTCTTGAGCAAAAGCGTGAATTGCAGTGCCACAGGCTGCAGATGTTCAGAACCAAATGTTAGTTCAAAGCCACCTAGCACATGCTCCGTCTAAACCGATTCCATAGCCGGTGGCTCCACCAAGGGCAAGGCTAACTCCGCCACCTGTGAAAGCTCCGCCAACACCATCAACACCAAAAACTCAGTCACCCGTCCAAAACCATCTCCGCCATCATCCATCTCCACACCCAAACTCACACCACCACCAACGCCAAAACTCACACCCTCACCAAAACCCACCATTCCGAAGGTATCTCCTACACCACAACCACAACCAACACCAAAACCCACACCCTCACCCCCCAAGGTTTCCAAACCAACAACGCCAATGCCAAAACCCACCACTCCAAAGGTATCTCCTTCACCACAACCAACACCAAAGCCAACGCCCTCACCTCCAAAGGTTTCGCATTCACCACTTCCACCAAGTCCAAAGCCGAATCCTTCAAAACCACCAAAGGTTTCTGTTCCTCCTACTATTGCTCAACCACATAAGGGTACAGTTCCTCCAGTTGTTTCAAAACCACCAAACCCCCCTCCAAAGCCGACTCTAGACCCAATTCCAGCTCCCACACCAATACCTTGTAAACCATCTCCTATTCCTATGCCACGGAAATCAACTCCATCACTGGTTGCCTCGCCACCTCAAGTTCAATCACCACCTGTCTACTCGTCGCCACCAACCCCAGGTGCAGCACCCTCGCCAGTACCTAAACTCTATCCTCCACCAGTCTTCTACCCACCACCACCTATCTACTCACCTCCGCCGCCAGTCTTCTCCCTGCCACCAGCACCTAAACACTCACCTCCTCCACCTCCAGTGCAGTACCTCCAATGCAATCATCACCACCAGTTCCTGTGCAGTCTCCTCGCCGACCTTCCCAGACTGTGTACTCCCCACGAACTTGGGTTTCCAATACGCATCCCTGCCGCCGACAATTTTCCCAGGCTATTAAGGAGTGTACAGCCATCCTTCTATGCAAATTTTTTGTTATCAGCAGACGTCCAGAAAACTATGTACAAACTCACTTTGTAAGAGTTATATCATGGACTGTACTAACTCATTTTCTATAGTTTATATTGCCATCCAATTCAAGATGAGTGATTTTTACCACTCCAATTCACATTGTTACTGAATTATATTGTCTGGTTTGAAAGACATAAGAGTCGGTGCATTTAAATATATTCTTGTATAAATATAATGCAGAAGTGGTGAATTAGAACCGATGGTCCAATTTATAAACACGGCAATGCCATTTGAATTATGGCCTATATTAGTGTGAACTTTGATACCATAAACATCTTTCTTAATCGTCATACTCCATCTGCTAATCATGTTTTCTTAAAGTTCAAACGTAAAGAATATGTTTCAAAACATTGATGCTACTTGTTCATAACATTGTATGTCTATTCTGCTTCCAACCCCCTCTCTACCCAGGCACCCACTCTCCACCTTCATTTCTGCCCAACATCTTGGCATATCACATACGTACGCGAGGTCCAACAAAAGTGTAGCAGACTCACGGAGAAGCTGTAATAATGTGCAACCACAAAGCATTTCTTGGTTGTTACCTCGTCATTGTTCATCCCAAAGAACAAAAAGTAACTTCATTACATATCAACATCGACTAAATCTAAAAAATGGGTTTCAGAACCATATTTCAGCAATTGAAATTTCAAATGTTACATGATAATGGTTCGGGCTAATCTGATTGCTTTAAAACTTGGAAGAAACACAACATTAACAAAAAATAAGAACTCGTGTTAATAGATAAACATTAGAAAAACCTCGATATCCTTCCACTATTATACTTACAACTCGAAAGCACTCACATTGAGCATATTTACTACTTTCGAACTAATTATATACATGTCTAATATAATTATAATCCAGTACTACAAGAAATTAAATTAACACTTAGAATGTGGTCATACCTTGAACTACATAACATCACCTTCACCAACCTCCGTACTTATATCAACAGATACTTTCCTTTCAAAAAAATATCAACAGATACTTCATGTTTTCCAAGGCAATGCCATAGATTTTCATATAAGTTCAGGTTTCAGCCGCTGAAATGTATAACATAACCCTCTTTGTAAAGCCGTTTCCCGCCATTATCTTCAATCCTATCCCAAGACTGCAGCGGTCGTACGTCCAACTTAGTTTCATGTGGTGGTACTCTGTAAAGTTGGAAAGTTGTTAGCTAGAATGATCTCATAATCTTGATCTATGTTTAGCGGCATCAAATGGTAACCGTCTGCGAACAGAAGCAAGTGGCTTTGCATTCCTGGAACCTGCGAATTTAATATCCCAACCTTCCACGTTCTTTGGGACACATGCGTCAAATAATACTTGGCCAAGGACACTATGTGCACTCATACAAGGGTTTGACCGATTTGGCGATCTCTCTTTCTGCTCCTCAGGTACAGACCCAAAGTCTCTACTGTTTCCATAGCCAGCTGAACTCGGCAGGAAGAAGTGGTCATTCGGCCCAACTGCAACTCTTCTAAGGCTTTGATTTGAGTCGACTGCTGCATTCTGGAGATCACAAATTAAGTCGGATACTTCATCATGCATATCATCCATGGGAGTTCTTTCTCCAAGTTTCTGAATTTTGCGGGAAAAACTAGAAACTGCCTGCTCAAGCAACTCAGCTATAGAAGTCGTGTACTGGATCGACTGATGCTTGTAATGACCTGTTGCAGTGCAAATCATATCAGTGCAAATGGTGTGCCACATGAACCTGAACTAGAAACTTGTAGAAAGTGATATTCTATATAGATTAGCAATAAGAAAATTGCAGGAAGTGAGAATCCACATATAGAGTGTTAATGGATTAATAAGAAAAGGCAGCTATGCGCCATTCACAAATCCAAACGTCACTGTCCAAATCACCTACTACATTTTCAATACAAAGCACATTTGAGGATGCTTCATGTGGCTGACCTCATATCGGACTTGGAATTATAGGGCACCAGTGAATGTCATAGGATACACCATTACCTAAGACATTTAAAGAGAGTAAAGAGGGAAATTTTCAAAAAAAAGTCTGAAAATTGAATTTGTTCCCAATATTTTCAAACCCAAGAAGACCAAATTGGCCAGTCGTAATGAGAGCTGCCCAACTCTCAGGTACAAGTTTCACAAAAGAACCAAAAAGGTAAAGACTGGATTAATAACGAGTGGGACAACAGAAGATAAGAAAATATATTTAATAAAGCAGTACTAGGGGTCTTTATGTATATGGTTAGCCATGAAAAATTCAGCAGTCAAATAAGATTGGTTTGGTCACTTATAGTTAATATTACAAGTATTATTTCTGGTTGAACTGAACTAGTCAGACCTGTCAAACGGCAAAAAGGAACAGTAACCCCAGAGGAAAAGTTCTACTCAGAAATAATAACATTCAGCACACCAACAGCTTCCTACACTGGGTGACTCGGGTGATGAGGAATGCAGCATTAAACTAAGATGACATTGATTACAGAAAAGTGTAAAAGACTTTGAAAGCACTGAACCACAATATCTCAAGTTTAATGTATCCAACATATAGATATAGTTATAATTATAAGCTAACAATTAACCTGTTTTCCACTTCACCACGTTGACATTGCCCCCCATATCTCTTAATTGCCTAGCAAATTTGCATACAACTGGATATGTAACCACATCGTCATTTTCTGAACATAAAATCAGAAACGGGACCCCCAAATCCTATAGATAAAAAGAAACCGAATAAAAAGGCCAAATTTACTAAAGATATAGTAAATATAATCTGGAAATGTCATGATCCAATTACAAACTTACAACTGAGGAACAAAGAGTTTGCCAGTACTCTGCATGTTGGGATCCAAACCTTGTGAGAAATAAAGCATCCAAGCTCGAAGTGACACCTTTCGCAAAAAATGATACTAGCTTTGAAAAACCAGGCATCTTAAGGACAATGTGGTTTGAAGCCAATCGGGCACCCAAATCACTACTAAAGTCGACAGGATCAGATTCATATATCTGGCCTGAGATGCAGTGCATAACCAATCTACTATCCTCCTTCATGTAAGAAGAAATAAGTCGATAAATAAACATATGTGCTCTACCACTTATAATTTATTACTCCCTCCATCCCATAAAAATAGGTTTGCTTTCCTTTCTCGTCTTACCCAAATTATGTCACTTTCCTTAGTAAGAGTATAGTTGATTTTTTAATTTTCTAATATGTCCATATTTAACGTGACTTGTTATCAACAAATATAAACTGCTCCTATTTAAACCACTATTTAATATAGGGGTATACTAAGAAAAACGTAAGAAAAAATTATATTTCCAACTATGTTAATTACGTTTTCTTAACACGTGAAAATGAAAACAAGTCTATCTTTATGGACGGGGGAGTAACATTAATTGAAGCCAAAGAACAAAGTCTACCAGATTGAGCTCCGCTTCACAACATCCTTTAATAATCTGCATCAGTTGTGAAATAAATTATATACATGGCCACAGTCAAGACAAACAATGATTAATCTTATCCAATTTCACTAAACATAAGTGCATAAGTTCTTCAACAAACAATTAGTGACACAGTCCTCATCCGGAACATTTATGGGTGGGAAAGTCAACACAGAGCTCAATGTATGTTCATGTGCATCAAAATGACCATGGCTCCAGTGCATTGACTTTACCTGAAAAAATTTATACATACAAGCCTTTGAACCACCAGAGGATGGTGCAAGGACTATAGGACACATGCTACTCCTTAGCTCCTGCATATACAGAAAAACTTTAGAGAATAATTACACCGAGGGCAAAAAGAACAGTTTGAGAATAATTACACCAAGAGCAAAAAGAACAGAAGGAGGAGGAGGAAATGAAGAAAAGGAAAAAGAAAAAAAAAAGACTTTTAGTACTTTGCATGGCTTCATTCACATGTTCTTTTCAACATCGCAATACTGGATATGACATGAAAGAAACAAGACAATAAACTAAAAGTAGTTTACTAACTCCGTTGTTCATTATTGCCACTTTTTTTGCATATAAAGACTGACCTTAACAAGCTCATTAAGCACAGAAAATGCTAGTGATGTAGCCCTCTCTGGGATGAATCTGCAGATAAAAATACACACTAACTATGAAATATTTGTTCAAAGAAATGGGTTCAGGGAGGAATTCAAATCAAAGAAATGAGAAATTCTTTAGAAAATAAGGAAGGAGAAATTCTCGATCTTAAAACAAGAAGGTATTTTTGAGTTCTAAAGAATTTAAGCTTCTCCTGAGAATTTTCAAAGGTAGTTACTTAGGTAGTGGGATAAGAAAATTCCGCAATATTAAATCCCATAAAGAGTCCTCGATCAATTTCCCTAAAACAATTTAGATTATTGCCAGCTACCCAAGTGGACAAATCTTCACTCCCATGCTATTGAGCCGTGAAACCTGTACAGTTACCAGGCCGAGTGATGTTCTAGCATGTTTGTCCATGCTTCTTTCTAAACAAATTGGCTTATTTTTTAGCTTCTCTCAATTTGGACTTTTTTATTAGCATTTAAGTTAATCAAAACATGCTACATCGACTTCTTTGTTAGCATTGGTTGGCTTCTCCAGTATGAAAACTCTACATCTAAAGATATACTTCAAGCACTTACTATGCGACAAGGGTAGAAGGGAGGTGGAGAAATTCTCGATCTTAAAACAAAAAGGTATTTTTGAGTTCTAAAGAATTTAAGCTTCTCCTGAGAATTTTCAAAGGTAGTTTTCATTTATCTCACTTCTTAGGTAGTGGGATAAGAAAATTCTGCAATGTTAAATCCCAGAAAGAGTCCTCGCTCAATTTCCCTAAAACAATTCAGATTATTGCCAGCTACCCAAGTGGACAAATCTTCACTCTCATGCTATTGAGCCGTGAAACCTATACAGTTACCAGGCCGAGTGATGTTCTAGCATGTTTGTCCATGCTTCTTTCTAAACAAATTGGCTTCTTTTTTAGCTTCTCTCAATTTGGACTTTTTCATTAGCATTTAAGTTAATAAAAACATGCTACATCGACTTCTTTGTTAGCATTGCTAGGCTTCTCCAGTATGAAAACTCTACATCTAAAGATATACTTCAAGCACTTACTATGCGACAAGGGTAGAAGGGAGGTTAGTTCATTCAGGGCATTTGCGAAGCAGCTAATATAAAGTCAAATAGCTGACTCAGTAGTCATTCCTATCTCCGAATTTTGGTTAATATTATGTATTCCTTACCTTTGCGTACCATCCGTAGCATCGGAGAGTGGGAAAAAGAAAGTCATTTTCCTTCTAAACATAGGATGCACTACCTCATGGGTAAAAAAGAAGTAAAAAGAAAAGGGACAGATGCGAGTCAAAAAAAAACTGTTTAGACGAAGGCTTAAGTTCCTTGGAAAGGTTTGGTGCTAACAACTAGTTAGCGAGAAAGAATAAGCTAATAAGCTCTTTACAATCTAGAATGAAAGCTAATCCCGACTATCAATAATCCCTCCAACACCACCTCAAATAATTACATACACACACATTTACACACCACAAAAGTATATTGAGAACGGGAAGAGCATACGGATTGAGAAAATCGGATAGGCAAACCAGAGAGTTCCATCCAAGAGAAGTGTAGAAATTCACAGAATCCTTCAATTGACTTTCGGTAATTGAGGAGACCCACGCGAAAATCACAACTATTCCTTTGATTTTCAACTCTTCAGTACTAATACTATCCTGACTTCTGACCCAATAAATTCTCCCTCCGACAACTCCGCCGCTCATCGTAGCAAGACCTCGAAATCGAAAGCCAAATTGATAATTGGAAATTGAAATTCGAAATATAGGAAAATTTGGAAAAAAGAGGGTTCGGTACGAGGACCGTTAAGGGGGATGCGGAGTAGAGAGAGTGACCGAGGTTTTGGTTGTGGTGGTGGTGGATTGCCAAAGGGGATTGATGAGTATATGCCAGCTCAGATAATTAGCATTTTAGGATATCCATTTCATCAAATTACACACACCTACCTCAGGTTTTTTTATTATTACAGAGGCACCACTGCCTTGTTTTAAAAAAGGGGTTAGGGCTCAACAAAACTCTCAAACCGAACCGATCGAATCCTACCCAAACCAAATTGAACAGAATTGAACTGTTCCTTTTAAATTAAATACCTAAACGGATATTTAAATCGAGAACCGATGGGTTGGTTCAAGTCTCGATTTTTTTAAGTTAAATATCCAAATTACATTTTTTTTAAATCCAAATCTTTCAAATACAGTGCAAATGAAAGTAAACCTTTCATTTTTGATGAAAATGATCCGTTTGGATGGAATCAATCCAAACGGATCGTTGTTTCGTGCATGCGATGCAATTTCCCTTATTTTATTTTTATTTCAAGCGACAATTTTGTTAGATGACTTTTTCCACTCAAAAAGCCAAACAAAATAGAAAATAAATTTAAAAAAAAACATTAAAGCAACCTATCATGTGAAACCTCAAGATTAGTCCTAAATTTTGGATGGATTTGTACGGGATACCTAAAATTTCAGGACTGGTCCTAAATTATGTAAATCAAACTTTACAATTATTCAGGCAACCTATTATTGTCTCATCCCTCGATAAATGTTTTCATACAGATGATTTCAAAGTTTTGTTTTTATTTGATAAAAGTTTTCACAAACAAATATCGAATTCCTTTTTTAGGCAACAACTCTAACGTGTGACAACAATTACATCCTCGTAAACTCAATATTGTCAATGAAAAGATCGATTGTACAACATATACATAGCCTCCGTTTGATCTACATTATTATCTCGTTAAAATAAAAAGTATGACTGTTATCCATCATATCAACATTTATATAGGGTTAGGTGTAATTTCCTCTTTCTTTTTTAGGCAACAACTCTAACATGTGACAACAATTACATCCTCGTAAACTCAATATTGTCAATGAAAAGATCGATTGTACAACATATACATAGCCTCCGTTTGATCTACATTATTATCTCGTTAAAATAAAAAATATGACTGTTATCCATCACATCAACATTTAAATTCAAATTTTCTATCTCTTGTGTGGACCCCAATAACGACTATATTTTTCATTCTCATACTATAATAATTTGGCTCAAACAGGGCCATAATAAAAATGTGTTTGATGGATATTATTGAGAAAATTATATATTTTAAATAGTGATATGATGGGAAATATATGATTAAAAAGTAAGGAAAAATTATTAATGTGATGAAAATATTATTTTATTGAAAAAATGTGTAGTTGAAAATGAGTTTTGAAAGAATATATTTTTAAATAATGTTTGTCAAACATGGGCTAAGTTTACATACACATGATATGGTAAAATATGATTGGTTCGAAATTTCTTCAACCAAATAAAAAAATCTCCACTCCGTTTTTAACTCTTCATCTGTATATAAACTATTATATAACTGTTTATACACAAGTAGCATTATTTTATAAAGATATGTTGGGCATACAACTTGCTCATGCGTGGAATCAAATAAAATAATTTGTGGCATCATGGATTATATGGAATTTGTAGGAGGACGCCCTAAAATTAAGGACACTATTTTATCCTTTTATGTTGGAATTATTATCACTTTGTCTAAAAATTACATCTAATGGTACTAATGCAATCCACTATATATTACTCAAAATCGAGTCAGGGAATCTACCCCCAATCGCAATTCAATGAGAACATTCCCATTTCAAGCACGCTAACGATGTAGTAGAAAGGAATGTGCGACTTAAAGGACAGTTTCGTTGTGAATTTTTACATTCGCTCCTACATTATGCATCCACTTCAAGAGAATGCTCTTATACCAATTGATATAAGGCATTGTTTGCACTTTACTCTAAAGTCATGACTTATAGTAATAACAATTGTACTATATGTATATAAAATAAGTTTATATAATAGTTTACGTACATATGATCTGATGTAATACGATTGGGTCAGAATTTCTTTCACTAAAATTTTTAAAAAGCTCTTTTTGACACATATTTATATGTAAATCATTATATAATTTCCTATGTATAAGTAATAATGCAATTTATCCTGTATCACACAAAATCAAGTCCAAAAATCCACTTCAAACCCAATCCATTGAACCCACCCTCATTTCCGGTATGCACAACATTACCTTTGCATGAAACTGAGCTTCCTATTCAATAATATAACCTTAACAGAGGTCCTTACTCTATGCAAAATGTTGCAAAGCGGTCTGCAATTTGTTTGATTGACAAGCACAATCCGCACCCTATAAGGTGTCAGCAAGTTGGTCCTCATTAGTTGGACTATGGTTTCCATCCATTCACTAAATATGCCTAGACAACTAATTTAAACCTCTTCACATTCCAATCAACCAATTCAAACATGTTGTGAATAATAAATGTAAGAAATACCATAGAAATTCAAAATTATTCCAAGAATCTTTTTTTATAATTTTATTTTCGACATCAAATTATTACAAGCACCCAAACCAAAATAAAGCATAAGAGCACATTTGATACACGCATGATATCTAATCCACGTTATCAACCATGCATCGAAAGGACTACTTATTCATGAAAAGAGCGATTCTTTTGAACATAGCCTTACCGTTCTCACCATTAGGGGAAAACACACTAAAAACATGGTTTTCCCCTTTAGCCTCCACAATATCAACATCTCCACCCCACCCACAATTCATCAATGATTCCTTGTAATAATAACCTCGTTCTTTCAGAAGATCATATTCTGCAACATAAATAAGCACTTTTTTGCACCCCAATTTCGAAAGATTCAAATCCATGGAAGGATTGATCAAAGGGTCATCTAATCCTGTTGTGTTTGGACAAGAAAAAACCCATAAATTATCCACATAACTCTTGGGAACTACTGAGCCTGAGTTTTCATTCCCAATTGGATCTTTTCCCCAAAAATATGGACAGATTAGAAAAATCCCATCAAGATTGATCCCACCCAACTTATCAAGACCAAATCTTATGGCCATGTTGTGTGCTATATTGGCACCAGCACTGTCTCCTCCTAAATAAACACGATCGAAATCAGCATTTTCTTGAATCCATGGCTCATGCCCATCACCTGTGAATTGAGATTCCACACATGTCAGTTCAAACCAAGATTCGCTACGCAATCGGGAGATTTGAAGACAATTAAAAACAATTCTCAACCCAGAAGACTCACCTGTAGATTGAGAGGCCACCCATTTAAGTGCAAGCCAAGAATCTTCATATGCAATTGGAAGCGGGTGCTCCGGTGCTAATCTGTAACCAACGGAAACCACTACAACATTGGCTTCAGCGACGAGTGAATTCATGTGGTTATGGTGCGAAGGAGAGAAGGGTGATTCCACCATGAAGGCGCCACCGTGAAAATAAACAAGAAGTGGAAGTTTGCGGCCAGGGTTGGTGGTTCCTGGCAGGTAGAGCCGAGCAGATATATCAAATTCTGGTGAAATCTGGATGTCTTTGGATTGAACCCCAGTTTCTGAATCTACTGATGCAGGAACAATATCTTCGCCTGTAAGTCTTTCCACTCTTCCATCCTTGTATATTCGGATAATTGGGGGAAAATCATGGAGAATTTCAGTTGAATTTGCAGCCATTGGCGAAGAAAACAAAGAAAATGGTTTTGAAGAGAATGCTGTAGGAGAAAAATATCTATGCATCTAAGCCCCGGTTATTCCAAATTATAATGACTAGTGTAGTAATGTTTTGGAGAATATGTAGTTAAAAAAATAAAATATTTTTGACTTTACGTGTAATATTATTTTATTGGAGAATGTATGATTGGTTTAAAAAAAATGAATTATAATTTAATGAAAAACAACGAGGACGGGAGCTAATAATTGAGTTAAACTATTAGTACATGAAAAGGGCAAAGCTAAAAGGCTTGACAGAGCAAATAATGAGGTGGGTCCTCGGCTCTACCAGGCCTTTAGCATTATTCACAGGCAAAATTGCAGCCGTGGTTCCAAATCTTTCATTTTGTTGCAGATTACATTCAAACCTTTCATTTTTGCGACCGAAGTCTCAAACCTTTATATGTAATTGCAGCGTCAGTCCCAACCCTTTAATTCCGTCCATAAAACCGTCAGTCAACGTTTCAACAGTAATTTTGACTCAAATAAATGCAATGCTGGTCCCAAAC